GTGGTGGGGGGGGGGAGTTACGAACGAGGGTTTTTTCTTTTTTGGTTTGTACATCCGGCAAAAAAAAAACCCAAAAAACCCCCCCCCCCCCCCCAAAAAAAAAAAAAAAAAAAAACGTGCTACAGGACAAATACAAAAGTAAGCTTAACATGTTCTGTGCCTTATTCCTGCTACTGACTAGCATACGTGCTGTGTGGATCGTGTTTATGTGTTTATGTCAAAAATAAAAAAATGTTTTTATAAAAGCAGCTGTTTGACATCCTGTTTTTAAAAAAAAAAGATTGAAACCAGTTTCGTTCATTGAAAATCCCCTCATTCGTTCACCTTTTTAAAAAATTTTTTTTTACACTTAACAGGAAATCAAAGTTCAAACAGAATTAGCAGATTATTATTATTTTTTTTCTTTTTTTGCTGAAACTTTTGCCAGGACTTTGATTTATGGTTTGTGGGGTCAAACCAACGTCAAAAAGTGCAAAGTCAGAACTTCAGCGCAGATTCAAGCCTTTGTTGATTGGTTTCAATTATCCTTGATATTTACAAAAGTCTACAAGATGTTGGTTGATGAAACTTCTAGTAATGCCTGGACTAACAGCATTAGTTGATAATAAAAACAGCTTGGGGAGATCAACTAGGCCTGTCACGATAACACATTTTTCTTGGCGATTGTCTCAGAAACTATTGCGATAAATGATAATATTGTTTGAAATTTGACAATAATTAGTATCCATCCGTCCATTATCTTTTACCCACTTCTTCCATTTTGGGTCACGGGGTTCACCGGTGCCCATGTCCGGCAATCACTGTGCGAGGAGCGGGGTACACCCTGGACGGGTCGCAAGTCCATCACAGGGACACGGAGACAAACAACCATTCACTCTCTCACGCACACCTAGGGACAATTTAGAGTTACCAATCAGCCTAACATGCGTGTTTTTGGTCTGTGGGAGGAAACCGGAGTACCCGGAGAAAACCCACACATGCATGGAGAGAACATGCAAACTCCACCCAGAAGGCCCCTGGACTGGGATTTGAGCCAGGGACCTGCTCTCTGAGAGGCAGCAGCTCTACCAGTTGCGTCGCCGTGCTGCCCACAATAATTAGTAATTATGGTCAAATTTAAGAAGAAATGTTACATCATTTGTTTTGAGTGTAGTACCTTTTTTCAACCACCAGATGGCAGTACAAGACTGTTTGAATCGAAGGATGGACAGTGAGGAAGCGAGCTGCGTGTCTCCTTAAGAAAAATGGGAGGGAGGCCCCTTGACGTGACATGGGCTGTCTCTCTTAGGTTCTCAAAATGGCAGACTCTCGGTGTGGTTGGAGCTCTTTAGCATAGCATTTTTCACGCAAAGCTTTAAAAAAAAAACGGTAAACAAGTTCTCAGCTTCTTTTTGCAGAGAAAAACAACTTTTTACATGAAGGCAATCGTGAATTTTTGGAGCTTCGACAAGACGCAGGTTTTTTCCCCAAGGTCGGCCTGCTAGCTTAGCTCGTAGCTTAGCTTCTCAGCTGCTTTTAACGATCCAACAACATGATTTTGGACGTTAAAATGGATTTTAAAGAGAACTAGAAAGGGAGGGGTCAGTGAAGAGCACCGGAGTTGAGCCTTTTGTCATCCAGTGTCTTCAGTAGAAAGAGAGAGACGCAAAGAAACGATAAAGCTGATAAATGAAAATGAGGTTGATAATTTTAATTTATCTTGCTATTAATTGATTTATTGTTTATCGCGACAGACCTGGTCTCAACCAGCGTTTTTAACATCCTTCCTCAAATGGCAGGTGTAAGTGGCCTGGTTTAAGATCTGAATTTAATGTTTATAATAGAGGAGTGCTAATCAAATAACAGTTGTATCATTTCAAAATGACTTGAGGTACTTTTGGACTAAGTAAAATCAACTTTTCTTTCTCGCAGGTGCAGAACAAGAGCTGTTGCACCGTCCGTCAAAAAGCCTGGAAGCACTTCACCTAATTCCATCGATTCTACGGTTGGATTAATAATCTACAATGGCATTACATGGTGATTTAGCAGAAGGAGGAGCCAAAGAAGAGTTTAACGAAATCATCAAGTGGAGATCTGGTATGTTTTTTGGTAGTTTGACCTCTGTTACAGTGAGGGTGCTTTTGAAATTTGCCATCCCATACAGTGCGCCCAGCATGCAGGTTTTGACAGAAATTTGATGGCTTTTTGAAAACGGATCTCGTAACAGAACCAGGGGGGCAGTTTGTTGTACAGAACACCCTGACAGAGTCAGAAGTCCTGTTGTGCATGGTTAACCTCAGTTCTCGTGGAGGAAGGAGGCAAAAGGGACAGGCAAAGCGAGCAACAAAGGCGTGGAACCAACCGGAGACTGTTGACTGTCCCACGTTTTCTGAGAGAAAGAGAAAGTAGACCGGAAAGGAAACCAGTGACAGCAGAGAACGGGGAAGACAAGAATGCAGGGATGGGTTTAAAGAGCCGCACCCAATGATCTGTTTCTCTGTCAGCCTTTGCCTTTCCATAGGCTAATCTTTTGAATACGCCACCCTCAAGGGGAGAGATAAATACAAACAAGTTGTTGGTCTGCTGAGAGGAGGGCTTTAGTAGGACTTGTTTTCTCTTTTTCAAGGTTGATGTGTATCTTGCCTCCCATTCAAAGACATCAGTTGTTAGTATTTTGGAGATTTTCCACTTGAATAAAAAAGTGAATGATGCTGTGAAGACCTAACAACGTTAAGTCAGGTCCTTTGGACGGAATCTTCTTGTTGACTTAAAAGACGAAATGTTTCAACAAGAAGAATCCGTCCAGAGGACCTGATTTTACTTTGTTAGGTTTTTCTACCTGGGTTATTGAGCAGGCATCAGGATGCTATGAAGAGTTGCTACATTTTTTTTTAAGACTTTCATATCTAATTTTTTTATTTATTTTATTTTTTAACTGTGTTCTTGTGTTCTTTAACACAGTGGTTCCCAACCCTGGTCCCTGAGGAACACCACTCTGCTTGTTTTAGTTGTTACTCTGCTCCAACACACCTGTTTTGAATGAAAGGGTAGGCATCTGCCGAACTTAAGGAAGTAATTAAACCACTGAATCAGGTGTGTTGGAGCAGAGAAACAACTAAAACCTGCAGGATGGTGTTCCTCAAGGACCAGAGTTGGGAACCGCAGCAGTTGAACACATGTAAAGTCTAAAGGAGATACATTTGTGATGTCTGTTGGGAAATCAGAAAGGACGTTCTTTTTCTCTGTGCTTCTTTTGCACAAATATACAAGATCTTAAAATATTGAAAACTACACATAAATTATATGTATTTTATGCATTTTGAGATATTTTAGCTGTTTGGAGGAAGGTATTTTTTTTAACAAATGCTGAGGCAAGTCACATTTTCTGCAAATTTTGGCTGAACAGTAACTAGTTTAGGTAGAGAATCATTGAATGGGTTCATTATATTGTGTGCTTTTATAGTGTTTATTTAAAAGTTTACATTGTTTTTTGATGTTCTGAACACCAACTTATCCAGCTGTCCTGCCAAATACACATTATTGCCTTCTCTTTTTCAACTGTCTGATAAAGTGCAGAATAAAATAAAAACATAAGTGCGGACTATGTGCCTCGGGGCGCTGGCAGTCTCGGAGCCAGGAATTCCTCTCTGCCGATGGAGTTGAATTTACAGCACTTGACTCCAAACCACAAGGCTTTTCCTACAAAGTTTCAGGTTACCCTAGCAACCTTGAAAATAATGTAAAAAATACCTTGTGGGGTAGCTGTGCTACATTAAACCAGCTCACAGTTTACAGGGGTGACTTGGTCCCAAATGTTTCTTATTTGTACAATAAGGTGATATGCGTGTGAGTGTAGCTACAGACGTGCAGCTGAAATGAGGTGTTGTGCTTTAAATTTCTGACGGTATGCACATTCCAAAACCAAGAAGGAGAGGCTGGTATAAGCCTAACAATATTAAACTTTTTCAATCATTATGGTTTTAAAGCTTGACATTTTTGCTTGTCTTGTAGAGAACAAAGGCGTACTGTTACCACTGACTGTGTCATCTAAAAAAAGCCTAGTTTATCTGCTGTAGTAGCTTTAATGTAATGTAGGTGAGAAGCTCCCTAGCAAGGATTTGTAGCATGCTTGAAAACCTTAGTGAGTGACAAGCAGGTGAGGTTGAGAACAGGTGGAAGTTTGTTTTCACAGCTGAAACAACAGGCATTAGTGCACTTGGAAGTAGATCGTGCCTCTCTGAATGTCGGTCTGAAAAGATTTACCAAAGTGTTGACCTTCAAGTTGCATCATGTTTTATTTGACAAGTCACTCTGTTTCCATTCAGTCCTATTTTGACATCACTTTTATAGGGGTGGTGTTAATGGATACACGTGGACTTGCGACTATAGTCTCAACCAGGTGTGTGTTTCGGCATCGCAGCAGTTGTTCACAGAAATGTAAAACTGGAGAATTGTTTCATGACTGTTGCACTGGGCTGCACAGCGGTGCACTGGTTAGAGCGGTCGCCTCTCAGAGAAAACGTCGCAAGACCGCCTTCCCACCTGGAGACTTTCTGGGTGGAGTTTGCATGTCTCCCCGTGCACATGTGGGTTTTCTCCGAGTACGCCAGTGATGGTAGAGCTGTTGCCTCTTAGCGAGAAGGTCGCCAGCTCGAATCCCAGCTGGGAACCTTTCTGGGTGGTGTTTGCATGTTCTCTCCGTGCATGCGTGGGTTTTCTCCAAGTACTCTTGGGTTTCCTCCCACAAACCAAAAACATGCATGTTAAGTTAACTGGTAACTAAATTGTCCCTAGGTGTGGGTGGGAATGTGAAAGGTTGCCTAGTTTGTCTCAGTGTGTCCCTGTGATGGACTTGTGACCTGTCCAGGTGTCTCCCACCTCTCACACAGTGACAACTGGACATGGGCACCAGTTCCCTGCAACCTGGAATGATGGACTGTTAGGGCTGAGTAAGTAGGGCTCAGCGATATGACCAAAAATGTGTGTGTATTGCAATTTGCAATATTTATAAATTCTCCTTTATTTCAATGTTTAATTTATTACATTAACATAATAATAATAATAAAAAGAAACCATAAGGCAGTGGTGAATTGGGACTCACAGACCTTAGTTATTAGTCCTTTGACCTCCACAACCATCCTTTCATATAATCCAACAACAGAAGTGACTTAATCAGCTCAGATCAAGCACTAAATTGTTAGTCAAACTCTTCTTGTCTGAATTTACCGGTGCTCTCTGAACAACTTCTGTCGAGCTGTTTACCTGACTCCTGAAACATAAACCCTGCGCACACAACTTTGTTCCACCTCATGTACCACATGTGATGCGAATGACAATAAAGAAGCTTGAATCTTGATAAACACGGTGCCCGCTGGACAGTTTTCTAGACGAGTGAGAGATGAGTCAGCTGGGGTTTTCAGATTGGAAGGGGGGTGGAGGCAACTGGAATAACTCGACACCTAGTGATTTTATGTTCAGATGCTAACAAATGGCTGTTAAAATTTATATTCTGCATAAGTGATATTGCCATTTTTGATATTGCACAAACTTATTATAAACTGGATTCACTTGTTGCATCGCTCACCCCTTTCTGTTATGCTTGTAACAAAGCTTTGTACGCAAAGAAACATTCTAAACCCAGACTTGTGGTCAGCACGTGCATTTGTTTTCAAATAAAACGGGTTTAGTTACCTTCGTTGTTAGCATATTTACTTTCAGAGCAGTGAGCAAAATATGAAAATCAAGTTCTAATTTTCTAAAAGTAATTCAACAAATGATTTAGGCATCTAATGTGTAAATGTGGATTTGCAAGAACTTTTAACCTGATTTGTTTAAAACAGCTGCATACATATGCCTGTTTTGTACCTAAAAATACTGAATATGATTATTCATATTGTCAAATTCCAACTGTAGTATTTTCGTAATTTTGTAGATGGTAACTTGGTAGGTGATAAAGTTGCAATTAAACAAATTCACTGAGTTTTCTTGGTTTCATTAGGAACTGAATATCTGATTTTGGACTTTTTGTCAAGTGAAACAAACTGCTTTAAAGCACTCAACCTGTTGGAACTTGTGTCACACACATTTTTAATTACTTAGACTAACTACTTTTCATTAAAATAAACATTTGTTGCAGCCTGTTTTTGACTTTCCAGGCTCATATCTGTTGAACCATGCACTGAGGTTTACCACAAGTCGCAGCATTAAAGATGCTTGCTTACTCTCTGTTCCACAGAGTTCTGCTTGGATTACTTTATAACTTAAAGTACTGTTCAAGGATTCATGGATTGGCTATTTGTTGTGTCTCCCTTCCCCCTGCTCATACCAAAGTGCAGCCCAATGTGAAAGTTCAGATTGTCATTCTCAGTTTTTGTTTAGCACATTATTAAACAGCTGGGTAACGATTTTCTCTAAACCTTACTTCTAAAGCTTGGATTTGAGGGTTATTTCACAAAAAGGTGGGATTCAGTAACCCAGGATGGGAGAAGAAAGATAAGTTTGATGAAGCCTCGCCAGGCTGAGGAATTATCTTTACAACTGCAATGATGCGGGTTAAACTTTAAAAAAAAAATGTCTCAACACCACGATGAGCTGCAGTCTTTATTTTACTAAATTAGCTACAGATGCAATGACACAAATCACTTTATTATGAAAATATTGGTCATCACAGATTAATTACAAATTCAATTTTCAATTGCTGAGTTTAGTTAAGAGTATTCACTAGAACCACCTTCTTCCCAAATATCATTAAAATTAGTTACATCTTACCTAAAAATGATGTTGGAAACTGGTTCATATTTGTCACGTCTAGACTGGACTATTGCAATGGTTTATTTTCTGGGTGTCCAAATAATTCTTTAAAAAGTCTTCAGTTGATCCAAAATGCTGCTGCCAGAGTCTTCACTGGAGTTAGTGGGAGAGATCATATCTCTCCAGTTTTAGCTTCTCTCCATTGGCTCCCTGTCAAATCCAGAATTGAATTCAAAATCTTACTTCTAACCTACAAAGCCCTCAATAACCCAGCTCCATCTTATATTACAGATCTTATTGTTCCATATTTTCCTAACGGAGCACTTCACCCTCAGACTGCAGGCTTA